AATTACTTCAGATGAAAACTATAGATCACAAAATTATTTCTGAAAAATTATCATAAAATATCAATATTTATTTACCTAAGAGCCACCTTTCCTGAGATATAACGATTCAAAAAGTTTTCAGCGCGTCATAATATACACACGTTTCCACGCCACCTTTTAGGTGTGCTTAGGGCGAATTTTTTACGTGGTTTCCCCAGTAGGCCTATGCCACAGGTCTGTTGTCATTTTGTATAATAATTCAACATGACACGACTGGTCTTGACAATTCGTACATGTCAGAACAAAACTCCCATTTTACAGTTTCCAAAAATTGTGTTTAGGAGTTTACCGGCACAGGTAGGAGTAAATTCTGAATTAGTTCTAATGTATTGACCATTTACTTCCAACTCCAGTCTTTTGAGTCTAACTGATAACCAAGCCACACTTGAACTTGGTAATATTGGTATGGTTTGGTAATACTAGAAAAAGATATTGATGAGCAGTAACTGAGGTTGGAAGAAGACAAACTAATTGCACTCGTTTTTAATTTCGAGTGTTTTTAACAAAATATGCATATCAATACTTATCTAAGCAGGTAATTTAAATCGTTATATCTCAGGAACGGTGGCCCGTAGGAAAAAAAATATTTATACATTTTTATAGATAATTTGATGTTCTACATCTTTTTGTTTGAAGTAATTTAACAATAAAACTTACCGTTTTAATCGTTAAAAATTTTGACCTCGAGAATTTTTTTCCCAAGTACCGGAACGTTGGAGAATTTTGAAATGTTATTTTTAATTATGGTTTGAACAATTTTACTCATTTCCAGCTTGATGTAAATTTATGTACCTCCACTCTGATTTTTCTGTCTAATGTGATCGGATTATGCGGCCTTCTGTATCGTGGAAGTTGCTTCCTGAAACGGGCGATCACAAGCAGGAACGCGGAAAATTCGCTGTATCGATATTAGTCTTTATACACGGTGTATTAAATCAATTCTCTGTGATCCGTGCTAGTCAAAAAATGATTTGATGAACTTTTCTCCTCTTAATAATAATGGCTACGGCACGTACCGGGGACTTATTAGTAGATACGTAATTCTGAGTAAAACTTCCTCGTATATACTCACTCACTCGTAAGGGCTGCTACATCGATGCTTCATATTTATTCCAAAAAACTAGTTACCGAAATATAAAACTCTTCTAAATGGGAATTTAGCATAGATAATGTAATGATGGACAGACTTGCTGTAGTAAATTAACTACCTATTTTATTAAGAGTGATAAAAAGTAAAAACCCGTCCAAATGCGTGTCAAATACGCGTCTGCCTTTTATCACAGTACTTTAAATGTCATAATATTATTATTCATTTCAGTGGATGGCATCATCTTCATTTCGCAGAAAATCATTTGGCATTTACTTATTTATCAGACAGTCAAAACTTATTATTTTGTAAAGGCAGAATCATCTTTAGGCGTAAATTTTATATCCATAATAATTAAGTAGCAGAACCATCGTATCGCAGATAGTACATAGTCAAAATCGTCGCTTGGTATACAAACATTTCACCTTCCATCTTTATAATATATTATACTAGCGGCCGCCCGTACCTTGATCTCTGCAACATATACAACTTGAAAGTTAAGACGAGACCAGCAAGATTGACAAGACAGCTGAGGAATTAACAAGGTAATTATCTCATGCTATCAAACAGCCTGTCCACTCAGTACACCTTCATCGAGCTCTAATGCCAGTCAACCCTGGTGGGATCTTGAGCTGTATATAAACTGAGGAAAAATATAAGAAGAATTTTAAACAAGGCCATAAATACATGTGACGTGACGACCAGGACTGGGATGCATATAATGACGCCAAGGCTCTTTATAAGAAATGCATTCGGCACTGGAGCAATCGGTCTTGGCAAAGGCAACTAAGGTAAGAAAACTGCTATCTAAAGACAGGCAGCAAGACCTACTACAGCTTCGGAAAACTGATGGCTCCCTCACAGAAACATCAGAGGAGGCACAGGGGGTACTACTTGCAACTCACTTTCCAGGCTGCATTACACGCGGCACATTCTTGGAGTAACACTGATTGGACCAACATGGAATAATCCTGGAACACTGTACTGAGGACAGTTTCTATGAACAAAATAAGGTGGATCATAAACAGCTTCAAGCGTTTCAAGGCAGCCGGTCAAGATGGCATCTTTCCAGCACTGCTTCAATGGGCTCCTCCTGAGCGCGTGCCTTGCACATTGATATACGCCGAAGCTCTGGAGGGAGATGGCAATTAAAACAATATAACATAAAAAATAATAAAAGACAGAACGAGCAAAATTAAAATTAATATAATATAGAGCAAGTCGATCGTGGCTTTAGTACACTAATTAGTTAAAGTTAGTTAGGTTTTTTGTTAGTCCAATAGAAGTCTTTTATATTTAATTTTAATTTATACTTTTTGTTTCAGCCCTGAGCAGCCCCGTGGCGGTAGGTCTGTGGCGGGGGAGAAGAAGGGAGCGCACATCCAATATAAGAAGAGAGCAAAATAGGTTTATGTCGGACACTTTGACCGGTCGACCGTGAACTAACTCCGCTGCACGACGCGGGTGGCCTTATAATATCTCGTTTGTTATGAAAACCCTTTCACGGAAAAAAAATAATACAATTCTTTATTATAATGCGGAAATTATTCACAGAACAGATCTTCCTTTAGAACAATTTATACTAGATCTACCTTACTGGTATGGTAAGGTTAAAATGACGTAAGTACTACTAACTGGAAGGTAAAGTTTCAAAACACTTGAATAAAGGATCTTGAAATTGAACTTCATAAAAGGTACCTACTTAACTATATGATTACTAAACACAGCTAATTAGCTGATAACGCAACTATACATAAGAGTTAAGTACCTTTACACAATTAGCATAACTAATGAGGCTGGAGTATACTAATTTGCCCCTAATAAATCAGTAATCTGTTGAGATGGCCCGTGATGGTTGGCCTAATTCGAGATGCAGACGGCATCAAGTATTGAATAGCGCCGGACACTTGGTGCGACGTAAGTAATATTAGCCGCCCAGCCTCGCAGTCGTATCCCGCGGGACCTCAGCACCGCTGACACGCCGATCCAATTGCTGACACTAGATGCACCACAGGAACTTATTCGAAATGGCCTAATCTCCGATTCTACGTGTGATGTGAATGCCACAACGTGATGAATCAATGGCGTTGCCACACTTCAGCAGAGATGAGTATATGTGTACTTTATCGTCTTTAGACCAAATTGTCAAGAATTACTATACAATGTAAGCAGTTATGTTAGTGTTGTCTACACAACCAGCACCAACACAGCTCGAATGAATCAATGAAGAATGATGTAACTAAGAAGATACCTCCCTACTTTAACTCTCACGTCCAAAGTATAGCAAAAACTAATAACTATTGTATACGTAAATTTTTACCAAAATACAAATGATCATCAAAAATTATATACTTATGCTTTGTCATTTTCTTTGATTGTAACCACAGAACACAGAATCTGTGTTCTGTGATTGTAACCTATACTGCTCTGATTGCTTTAGATTATTTCCTCATTGGCGACCATTGAAATCAAAATCAATGTTTGCAGCCAACGAAAACTCGGCGAAGCAATCCGACATGAGCTGACAACTAATCAACTGACACACTAATCCTGGCAGAAATGAAGCCAGCTTCACCGCCGGCGCACCGCTTAATCAGCGCCGGACCGCCCGCCCTATATTTGCGTATGCAAAGAGACGCCGGCCGCATTAACGATGCCATATAGCAAGCGTAGCGTGCAGCGATTGGGCAAACACATATCTGCATTATAAACAGCGTCCGGGTGCACAAACGCGCTGCGGTTGGCCTTTACCGGGGCCGGGCTAATCAACGAACTGACCTTCCATCTACTACCGACTAGCAAACGCTGCACTCGACACTGGCTATCCGAGTGACGTCGAAAATGTTCCGCAATAGCTAACAAGTCACCGGCTCCACCGACATGAAAATACAAAGGCTCGGTTTCAAATCTCATTTAACCCTTCTATGTAAAAATGATAATGATCACCATAAGAAATGTGTTACCGATTACCCTGTTAATCAATAAAGCAGAAAACTTTATTATGCACCGGTACACGTTCTATCTAACAGCATGCGTGCATGTGCAGTGAATCGATTTAAACTTTCTACTTTCCATGTTCATACCCACTGCACCTACTTAATGGAAAATCTTGACACATTTCACGGACTCTTCTTCACCAGAGCGAATAAAGAAAGCTGGTTATTGCTGTAAATGATTTATTAACATAAGCATGCAGACATCTGCGGAGTGCATACTATGCATAGCCAATGAGCTTCTACGAGACACTGACGCGACATCCGTGCGAAACTATATGAAACCATTTAGCTGCCATAGTATACACTTTCAATAGCATATTTTTGGCAATTGTGTGTCAAAGAAATGTAGGTACATTATTTTATGATCTGCAAACTCGGACATAAACAGTATTTGCAACTGATAATATTATTACTGTAGTTCGACTTTATTTTTTGTTGCTTCTAATTACATCATTTTTGTCATCTCATATCATTCTAAGGTTTACTAAAAATGAAACAAGAATTTACGAGCTCTTTATTTTTATTTTCATATCTTACATCACGTAGTAAAATAATTTACATTCAAACATACAACCATAGTCACAAATAAATAAATTACATTAAATAATTTATTGACATAGATCCGAAATTGAGAGTGGACGACCGATGCGTCTAAGAAGGATGTCCGTATAGGACAAATACTTTGGTTTCAGTTTATTTGTTGTGGGTATAGGCACGGTGGAGTCGATCGGCAGCGGCGGGAACTGCTGCGAGCGCGCCGGCAGCTCAGCGGCTGAGCGGCGCGGCAGGCGGCTCGACTGCTCGGTAGCTGACGGTCAGGCGACTCAGCGGATCAGAGGCTTGTTGCTGTGCAGCCCAACCGGTCAGCACCAAGGAAACTACGCGCTCGTAGTCGTCTGCTCAGCATAGTACCGATACGGATCCACCAGACTGCGGTTCGCTGGCCTCACCACATACATATTCCGCCTTCGAATTAAAGACTAGAATTAAAAAAATGGAATTAAAAAATATAAATATCTAAAAAAATCTATCTAAATCAATACATTTCAACTTAAATAAGCCATCATAAAAAATCTTAAATTTACCTATGGTGTCCATCTGCATGAACTTGGAATGTTGTTTCACCGTTAGATCCGTCGTGGCTGAATAATTTCTTCAATGCAATGATTCCAGCAATAGTGAGGGCCACCTTACTGGCAATTAATGCTTTGCCCGCAATAGCTGCTAGTGTCTTCAAGGCCATGCCTCCTACTATGCTCACGGTCGTGAAGATACCAAGCAGCAGATAAGGCAGGACCTTCTTACCTAATAACAAACAAAAATAATTAAAATTGTAATTACCAAAGAAACATGTACTTGAAAACTTAACATTACTAGCCGACATACCTCTGCCTCTTCCCTCTGAAGCGAGATCCATGGAAATGGTGTGAGTATTCATCAATTGCTCGAATTTTGTGCGCAACATGGTATCGAGCTTATCTTCTGTTGACATTCCAGGGAAGAACCGGGGCTCAGACACCGCAGAGGGGACGTCAGCCTGCTTCACCAACGACAGCCCGTCGGTGAGCTGAACGCTCTCCTGTACAACACAAGAAAGCATTAATACACCAATTACGTCACACACACACTTTATACACAACAATCACTCTTATCACCTGCTCTACAGCTCTGGAGAGCGCTGTGAGAGCTTTGCCCTTCAAACACATCGTGAATTGTTTGTGTGCACTGCAATCGTCATAGATCTTCTGTAAGACTGTGAATTCCGCTGCAGGCCACCATGAGCTCTCATCAGCTCTACCGCTTTCAATTTCATTTTGTGCGTAATCCTCTAAATCCATGACGCGCGACCTCCGAGGTCCGTGAACGTGGCCCGAGGCAACTACCACACAGATAACAGAAACAATGGCTATCCGGAAAGGACACATTTTCGTTTTGATTTCCACACACTGCACTAAAAACTATAAATCGACGTATACGAGGGTGATCTAGCGGCAACTGACAGGCAGTGGAGCGGGTGAGAGCTTATAACTGTGCGCCACTTCGCCGTCGAGCACCACCAAACATCCGCTATTCCGCACTAATTCTCCACACGCGTACTTACGTAACTGAACTTGAAAATGATCGAGAGCCATTTTCCAAGTGAATTTCTCCAATAGAATGCACGGCAAAAAGCGAGACACATATCTGTTGCCGATTGCACCTAGTGTTTTATGCGCATGTGGTGTACTGACTTATGTGTGAGTGGACGCGATGAGTTTTGCGTGTAACTAGAAGACCATTCAGTCCTACATTTCACTCACGGACGACCGGTTTCAGTGTATTAGTTGACTATTTACACGAGAAATATTATTTCGATCCTTATCAGCGCGTGCACAAAGTGCAAGGTCGGTCTGCAGCGGCACTGTGGGTCGCATGCTAGCGGGTGCGTGGCGGAGGATGCGAGCAACGGTACAAACATTACATACATAAGGAACTGTTGCTATTAACGATTAAAAGAAAGTAAAAGCGGTATACCGAGACGTGTCAGTAGATTATCAATGTATTTCAGTTATATTACATAAACTTACATTAAATTAAATGTAGTTAATTTTTTTTCAAAAAGTGTAATCTGTTAAAAAAATATCAACGTAGCATAATGTAGAGTAGGACTTATTAACTGGATCACAGTAACAGAACGGCAGAAAGTGGTGTAACTTGGTTCTGTGGTGTGTAGACTATACTTTTACTTGGATATCTCGGCTTCAATTCCCTCGAGGTGAGAAGACTCGTCGACCAACTAACCATCTGTGTAAAAACGCTAAAAGGATCTGTTGATTGCCTCCACTTGCACAATCTTTTGTGTATTCTGTTTGTCCAGGACAAACCTGGGCTTCCACCGGAACGCAGGCGTGGTCCTCCTCGGCAACATAATCTCTTTCACGAAAACAGGGGTCACACCGTGGCGCGTGCGATGTCACCTTTGGTTAGATTATTGCGTAACCTCAATGCACTCCGGGACGCCAACACTGAATTTGACTTTTCCTTTGACAGTTGGTCTACCATCAAGTCAGCATTATTATGTTATTGTGAAAGTCTGACGGATCAATGGAGCAATACTGGTTGCACTGACAATGAAGACTGAACATTATTTTTTGTTAAAACATATAATATTTATTTGAAATGCTTACCCTATTTATAGTATATTATATTAATATTGACGTTTTATGATATATTATGACAATCCTTTAAAATGTGTGAAACTGAAAAATGTAAATGTGTGATAAATGTAATTGCTTTTTGTCGTTTTTATCACAATAAATAAATAAATAAAATAAATAAATACTATTTACTACTATACCTAGCCAAGTCTTCATTTTCACGAAACCCCGAAATGAGTGAGCATGCCACTGGTCAGTTTCCTGTAAATAGCGAAAACTTAGAGCTAAGTATTTAAAAAATCATTTCAAGGTTAACTTTAAAACGCTTAATTTCCAAAAATTACTGAAATTGATAAGAGTGTTATGATCAACATGAATTGATTTTAGGAAGATTGTATGATGTTTGGGTGTAAGTGACATATTATAATCAACATTCGTATTTATAATAGGAGATATTGGGTACATAATAAAATTTGCTGTACATGGTATGGGAGTTATATCACAATTTTATTATCGATGCTATAATTAAAAGATAGTCTGGATAGTTCCCGAATTGGGTTTTTTTCGACATTGATAACTCTAAGTTCGTTATAATAATGACTAAGTCAGATTTCTGAATGAGTGTCAGACTCACTTATTCGTTATTATCGAATTTAAAATATTTTTTCACCGAAAGTTGTGATTTAAAAAATGCCACGAGAATTATCATGTGTGATACGAGTCAGAATTGTAAGTCTGAGAGAAGAAGGCTATTCTACGAGAGAAATAGCACGTCTTGGATTGCATGTCTTTTTGTATGGATAAACAATTGAATTTTTTGTTTTGGTTTTACGATCTAATTCTAATTTTAAAATTTAGAATCTTATCAGAAAAATATATTACAAAAAAGTCTTCTGTAACACAAAAAACAATCTATTTTTCAAAGTGATTGCAAACTTTTTTTGATGTGTGTATATCCAGCGGCGGCCTTTAGCGCAAAACAACCCAAATCAGATTTTCAATGTTGTTTTGTGAGGGTCAGGAGCTTGTTCAATTTCAAACAAGACATACCAGGTAAATACTCATCATCATCATCAAATAACTGTAACAATTGCATTTGTTTTCTTAAAAATCTCTTCGGTGGTGTCGTGTGAGTCGGGTCGTTACGTTCCCCAAAAAATATGCTTGAGCGAAGCGATGGCTGGTTCATGCGTTATGCTCGTAAACGGGTGCTGCCAGCGGGAATGAGTCTGCTATGTACTGCTGCGTTACTATTGAGATTGTTATCTATTGTACCTAATATTAATTGATTAATACGTAATAAAACACTGTTTGTATACTGTATGACACAGCAATCAAAATTTGAGTAGGCGTTGTATTAGTAGCGACATGATTTTTTGATGTGTAACATCTTTCCTCTCGCTTTCCTGCAATTTGTGGGAGTGATTTCGTGAAATGGGACGGAAGTGTGTCAAAAGCAAGTCGCGAAAGCGCGTACTATTTGATTTGATTTTAGAACATAATGTTCAAATGGCTTATTCCTTTTGTAGTAGGTTTTATTTCTTTTTTTACTAATATAAGGTGAGCTTTTCAAATGTTACTCATTATACGCGACTACTGTAAGGCTCGCTCAATTTTTTTTTTGTAAATGTTGCTACTTCTGTTGAATGCTGATGAGTTTCTTGCGCCCATTCTTCTCATCAGCTAAAAGATATCCTGAATGGGTGTTAGGAAAAAATATTGGATGATTCAAAAGAGCTTTCAATAACTCAATTTGAATAAAGTATGTTCATCTAACAGAAATAAATTGATCGCGATTCAAAAATATTAAATGACACAAGTTCGACTTTCAACTCTTGCTATACTTTCAATTGACAAAATGGGGCAGCGTTTTCGTTAAAATTGTAATAATTTGTAAAATACTTTGAACTTTAAACTCCATTGTCATGACTGGCAACATACAATTTTCAGATACTGAGGTATTTTGGACGAGAAGCGATCGGAAAGTTTGCTGTTGCCCAGTCGAGTTGGAATCGGAGGTTTACTTCTTTCGCGAGATTGGACTTACTCAATTGGACCATTTTGTCCCAGATATAATATTTGTCGACAAATTGGAGTGCATAGTTAAACAGACGTTTACCGTGTGGAACAAGACATGACCGCTATACATGATTATCGTTTTACTAATGTTAATTTTATGACCCTGAAGATGAGTAATGTACTCGCCGCTAACGTTGATGCCAATCCCGTTCCAATCCAGAAACTTAAAGACGTCATCCAATGCCGCAGTAAACAGCTTCGAGGAGGTTACTGTCGGACGAGATAATTCTCCCTGTCGCACTTCTTGTTGTAATTGGCTAGGTCTTGTAGTCGGGACTTATATATGTCATGATAGCGTTTTCGAAGTCTTCAGCACTTGGGTGTAGCGATAGTCGATGCAGCAGCTCTGTTAAAATCGCAACAGTCAACACAGCTCATGTTTTAACCGAGTCAGAAGCTTTCTCATAGACCACAAACGCTTAGCATAGTGGCAGGTTATATTCATCGGTGTTTTGTATAACCTGCTGCGGTGTTTGGAAGTGGTCCATGGTGCTGAAACCTTTATGGAATTCGGCTTGTACGAGAGGCTGGAAGTCGTGTAACTTATTAGCGAGACGATTCGTAATAACTCGAAAAATCATGTAGATGTGGCTCAGCAGCTAGATGGGTATGTATCTAGTTCTGTAATAAGGTGTTGCATTGAAGGAATGTACCACATGTTTACTTATAAAACTTTATGTTATTTGACACCATTCGGGTACCAATATCAATAAACAACTAATAAGTACATATTTGTAATGTCGTGGTGGTCGGAGTATTTATCAAAGAAATTACGCCAATTAAGTAGGTATTGAAAATATCAAATATTATTGACGGGAGCATATAGAAAGTGGTCGATTGTGCTCACGGGCTGAGTAAACTCTTAAGCGATAGGATAGCGGGTTTTTAACCCGTGGGCTGTGTTGACCTAATAATGTGAGGAACCTCAACATGATTTTCGGTTATCTAGACACTGATAGCAACTTGTTTTTTTTTTTTTCTTACAATGGCAAAATAACATTTAACCAATAAATGTTCAGAGAATAATATCTTTTTTTCCTCGGCTTTCTTTCGTCGTGAGTCTTACATATAAATTACGCAGAATCTAATGATTTATCATTTGTTGAAAGACGCAACAATATAAATTGAACTAAAACGATGAATGGGAGTTGACCGATGTCCTTTATTTACTGAGATTGAAAAAAAAACAGGCGATTTTTAATAATATTTAATTATTAAGACTGTGTGAGTAAAAATATTAATCAGAATCTAGCTCTTCAATTCCGCTCATCTCTGCATTACCGACCGACGGAGTAGTTATGAATAATCATGCACTATTACTAGATCACATACGAACATGCATGCATTTATGCAAACGAAAGTTTTATATCGAGTTTATGAACGCAACTTAGTGACATTTGGTTGACGATTTAGGTTATCAGATGGCCCCAAAACGGAGAATGAAGTCAAAACTGGCTTTTATGATGCTCAAGTAAAAATTGGACGATATTTCAATTTAGATGTCAGTCAATACTTCTATATTTACGGCTGAATCGTTGGCTATTTACGAAGCTTTAAGATACATAAGAAATATGACTCAGTGTACTGCAAAGATTAGAAACTTGTACCTTACCATATAAGAACAATATATATATATTTACAAAATAAAAGAAATTTTGAAGTATTTCCATGAAAAACTATTGAATTGATGTGGGTACCCTCGCATAGTC